ATCTCCCCACCCCAACAAAAAACAGAAGTGCATGCTGTAAAGTAATAAATAGGCAGGCTGCTATGTGAGTGATCATGTGATCTCCAAGCATCTCTCACACACACACACACACACAACCACAGCTGATTGGCAGGCGTGACACCAGTCGGTGACACGCCAATGACTTCCTGTCACATTGTTTGATTGGCAGCTAGGGTGTCCATCCACCCATTTTGAGCATGTTCTCTCTAATTATAAAACAAAAGCAAAGTCTGGTCAGAAGACAGCGTAGTTTTTGCATAATAAATTGAGAGGCAGCTCCTACACAAAACAAAAGCTTACTTGTTTTAGAAATTTGATAACTCTTACTGCTTGTGGTTGTAAGGTTTTCTTTTAACAAAGATACAAAATTGTCCTCTCACTTATTTTGCATTAGGAAACCTTTGAAATCGTGTTGTTGTGGACCATTTGGATTTAGGTGCTTGCTCCTGATGAATCAAATGTCATACAAGCAACGAGGTGGTGAATATTTTCTATGGCCTATCTCATTTGCAAGAAAGTAAATAAGTTTTACTGTATGTAGCTCTCCTCAACCCCACAATGGAGCTAGCCAGCCTTAATGGGCCCCGCTGTTGAGAGTGGATAATAGTCTCATCGATGGAACATTTTAAGTCGACCAGAGGTGTCACATTTAGGCCAGCTGGCGAGAGAAGAGCGTGAGGAAGGAGAGAAAGAAGGAAGTGCACGCACAGCTGCAGAACATTAGCAGGGTACGCACACCGCATACGCGCACCAATGATTCACGCCGACCGTGAGCCAACGATGTGACGACCATCTGACTCTGTAACCAATCACAAAGTGAATATTCATGATCTCTGGCCTGCATATTCTTTCACATTTATTTTTACCAGTCTTAGTTTGCATGTGTCTTTTTGTAAAATGTACTCATACACATTCTCGCTCGTGCACACACGCATACACAGGCGCAAACACCGACACACACAGACACGCACGCATGTGCGTACACGTACACACAAACGCATACACATGCACATACACAAGTGACTAGCATATCTGATTGGCAGATGGCAGCAGTCTAGTTGACAGAGCCAGCTGTCCACTTTCATTTTAATGAGTTAATGTGAATTAAAATGGATCTGCATTGAAGTCTTTCTGTTAATGTGGGCTTTATTTGAGCAATACTTTGAGAAGTCCATCAAGAAAGAAAAAAAATGCACTCTATTTCCTTTCTTTTCAGATGGCGCACGAAAAAAATGAAACGGTAATTGCGGGTAAAAGCAAAAAGTGTGATTACTAAATATGATTAATATAATCGCACCAAAAACCAGACGCATTAGGAATACGTCTGACTATATCACTGCCTTCAGTGCATTATGGTACACATTTACCCCAGAGCGAATGTGGCAGGTCTCGGCCGAGATGGAACTCTGAGCAGCGTCAATTTGCCCTCTTAGTCTCTAACCATTACATGCAATCAAATGCAGATAGAGAGCTGAGGCTTGAGGGAAAAGAAAGTCAGGAACATTTTGAATGATTCTAAGATTACTGTGCTACAGGGCTGAGCTACAGCAAGAGGCACAAAAAAAAGACCACCATTAAAATGAGATTAAATATAAAGGTCTCAAAATACTGTATTCTTTGGGGGGGATGCACGGTTTACGACAGAATTCCGTTCCGTGCCAGTGAATCATTTATGATCTTTTTCAGACCTAAAACCTGTACATCTCAATAACAAAATAAGAGATAATAGACGCACATCTGTTCACACAATTACAAATAGGGACATGACTGTGGTCAGAACAAACCAATCATGTTAAATGGGAATCAACACACACCTGCCACCATTTCGAGCGCCTATGATTAACCCCAAATAAAGTTCAAATGCTCGAGTTGGCTTTCGAGTAGTCAAGTCAAGTCAGTTTTATAGTCAAATATGCTTTATGTGCAACATACAGCACAGATGAAATTACTTTCCTCTCTCAACCACACTGCAAACATGTAGTGCATTGAAACACACACAGGTGTTGGAATGTCATTGCTCATACGTAAGAAACGTTTACTCTCAATGCATGAACAAATATGATGAAAAAGATGTCATTGTGTCTCTGCATATTTATCCATGGAGTTCATTTTTCAGAGTCCATTCCGTTATTCATATAACTCTGATTTTGTTTATTTAACCGGAACGATTCCATTTTCACCTTTGTGAATATGTTTTTCCCTTCGTCACCACTGGCGTCAACTTTGAATTAGAAAAAAAAAAAAAACATACTAGCATACTTGCCCAATTTAGTTTGTGTTGTTCCAACATAGCAGTATAGGAAGGATATATTTCGATATAAATAGCAACTGTGGGGCCCAATGTGGCTCTGCCAGATGGGTTTTTTTTGTTGTTTTTTTTGAAAGACTCATTGTACTTCACCGAGACAGTTTTCTAAGCAAAGGTGATTTAGAGATCGCGTTACAGCATATGCTTTTCTACAGATGTGTATCAATGTAATGGTCATGTGAAAATCCCAGTTCAATAACAATCATGCTTCGAGAAACAAATACCTGGTATCAGGGTATAGAGTCCACATTGTAAATAGAAACAGTAGGCCTATTCAGACTCTGTATGTGCCTACTGTATTCTGCCTCTCACACTGAAAGATTCGGATAGTGTGAGTTAATCACACCGAATAGCTCTAACAGATAATTTTAAGCACCTCTTAAAGAAATTGGGGCACCGCTCTTAGAGTGGTCTTTGTGTGCTCGTGAACACGTGACAACGCTTCACAGGGGTAAGTGCTTGGTGTGTTGACGTGTGCAATATGAGTGGATGGGGTGATCACATACTGTGCTTGTTTATTTGCATTGACTGAAAAAAAGAGGTTACACATCCTGAATTCCAAATCATCTTAGCTGACATTATTCTGTACTGAATGGGGCACGTTAAAAAGGCGCACCAGGCGAATGCAAGATATACAGTGTTAAAACTGTATATGGTACTGGAATCTGAAACATTGAGGGAAAACAAAAACATACATGTAAGGCGTGCATCTAATTCCCGCTCATGTGTCACGTGCCAATATGGTTGCAGTCCAATTGGCAAACGTTGTCCATGCATCCATTTTCTCAAGCGGTTTCCTTCATCAGAGTCACGGTGACCGTAGCCTATCCCATCTTACTTTGGACTAGGCACCAGCCAATCGCAGGGCACATCTCGTAAAACAACCATTCAGATTCACATTCACACCTATAGTATGTGTAATTTAGAATCTACAATGAAGCTAAACGCATGCCTTTGGAATGTTGACAGAGAGCCAAGTAGTAGAGAACATGGACCACCACACAGGAATGCCGAAAAACAGGTTAAAACGCAAAAATATCATACCTGTGAGGCAGATGTGCTAACCATGGGTGTCAAACTCCGGTACTGGAGGGCCGCTGTCCTGCATGTTTTCCATCTCTCATCAGCAAGCTCTGCAGAAGCCTGATATCGATCTTGTTCATTTGAATCAGTTGTGTTGCAAAAGGAAGGGGGAGATGGAAAACATACAGGACGGTGGCCTTCCAGGATTGGAATTTGACACCTATGTGCCAACCATTTGCCTAACGTGGTGCCCTGGGCTGACATTGTCCGAAACCAAAACTACTTTTTCAAAGTGGTAGTCCAAAAAAGCCAGCACTCCATGCTGCACATTCCAAAAGCAACGAGAAATAAATTGTTCAGAGTTGTCCGGATTGATTTACAAAAATGAACTCTTGTTGCTCTGACCGACCTTGATGTCAAACTGTTTTGTGGCCCAACTAAATAACTTCGGAAGCTCATAGAAGGCAAAAGAAATAAAATGTTGATCGGGCTCTGGTGGTAGTGGAGCAAGTTCAAGTGGATTAATCAATTTATTGTGATTCTGGCAGTTCTTGCAATCAATTGCTTGTTGTGCCTGACACCTGTGACAATCACTCAACATGCAGACGTGCTGTCATTTTTTTTTTTTTTACTTTATTGTATCTTAGCAGGGACATTCATCAGTTTAAGTGTCAAGCTGTTATTTTAAACCCACTGACATACGTAAGAAACGTTCACTCTCAATGCATGAACAAATATTATGAAAAAGATATGGCAAAAAAAATCTCACCGCAACAGGCCAAAGCCTATTTTCTTAGACTTCTTTTCAGTCTCCTCAGATTCCTCTGCTTTTTTCTTCTCTTTTTCTTTTCCTTTGCCTCTGTTCTTATCCTTCTTCTTAGTTTTGACTTTCTTTTTCTTGTCCACTTTAGTTTTCTCCTCCACTGGATCCCCTAGCCCTTGGCGCGAAGAGCTACTTGCTGGCGTTTCCCGTCCTGAACTTTGCTCTGATGCATCTAGAACAGAAGATATCGGAATCACAATGAGAACTGGACAGTGTGGAATCGGCGAACTAAAAGGCACTGGTGTGTTTCTAACGATCAAATACCAAATTTGCAGCAGTTAAACACCCTTGAAAATCAATGTCACTTTGTTGACCCAAAACACTGTGGCTGTTGGCTAATGTTGAAGTAACAGCATATATTCGGAAGGGCAGCATGGTTTTTAAGTGTATATCACATCTGCCTAACAGTTTTTAGGTTTGGGGCTCGAATGAGAGCTCCGGCATTCCTGCGTGACGTTTGTATGTTCTTTCCGTGCTTGTGAGGGATTTCTTAGCAAACTCCTGTTTCCTTCATTTCGAAAAACGTGCATGTTAGGGTCATTGAAGACTGTCAAATGTCCACAGGTGTGAATGGATGCTGCTTCTAACCCAAATCAGTTGGGCAAGGCTACTACTTAACCACGACCCTGATGAGGACAAGTGTTACAGAAAATGAACAAATACCTCAGCACTATGCTTTATTACCCAACAGAGATATGGAAAAACAAGAGTAAAACAGGTGTTCTTAAAAGTAAAAAAAAAAAATACAGCCACACTTGAGAACACAGTTGATGCATCTCTTCAAGTATATTCAAGTATATTGTCTTAGTTTGCTGTTGACCCACTCCCGAAAACAAATTCCAGCATGCTTACACTTGACAGCATGAATAAAATCAGTATCCATGTCCAATCATCTGTCATTAGTACAATATTTACCATACCTAAGCAAATATTGTTTCTGAAATTCTGAAGCGCATCATTGTGAGGGCACTTTCAAGGTCTGTTCTCTGTCAATTAACAGCGGCTTCCAAAAGTTTTGAACAATTAGAAGCACGGTGACAGACAGGGCCAGTGCGTGTGTGCAGTGTTGACATGCCCTATTAGGCCCATCCTGTGTGTAGTGTAGTGATCTGAAACAGGCCATCTCATTACTCTGGTGGTGACTGATAAGAGTTTGCTGCTAATAACACCACTGGGAATTGAGCCACACCTCACAATGAAACAAACCAAGCAGATAGTGTTTACCTCCTGAATAAATATTTGAAGCTAAAGCCCGACTAAATATTGAATCATATGCTGAAGGGCAATCTGCTGCATTGCTTCATACTGTTTGTGTTGACAGCGTTGTGGTATTCTGGTAAAAATCCTTTTTCTAGGTCGACAAAAAAGTGAAGGGGGCATACACGGAAAATGGATGAAAAGTAGTAAGTATACATTGATCACTAGGTCAAAGAAGCGGAAAAAAGAGGAGCAGTGAGGACATGCAGGATAAACACTGCAAACTATTAAACACGGGTAAGATATCATGGCTATGTCCAAATCCCCAAATAATTAATTGTTATATAATAAATCATTTCTACCTCAATGATAAGGACAAAGTCAAAAAACTGCAGTGAGTTGTGGCAAAATGTTGTCCAGAGACACCATTGTTGTGTTTGTCTAAAATGTTGATACTTCACATGTTCTCCCCGAGCCTGCGTGAGTTTTCTCGGGGTACTCCGATTTCCTCCCACATTCCATAAACATGCATGGCAGGCTGATTGAACACTCTAAATTGTCCCTAGGTGGCAGTGTGAGCGTGAATGGCTGTTTGTCTCTGTGTGCCCTGCAATTGGCTGGCAACCGGTTCAGGGTGTCCCCCGCCTACTGCCTGAAGACAGCTGGGATAGGCTCCGGCACTCCCCGCGACCCTTGTGAGGATAAAGCGGATCGGAAAATGGATGGATGGATACTTCATGTTGATTCACACTGCTATGAGCAGTTTGTATGTATGCTAAAAATGTCAGCAGTAGCACCATTGATTGCATCTATCCATCCAGCGGTTTCCACACCTCACCGCTATGAGAGAAACATGCTAAGCACAAGAACACTAGCTGCGATGGCAGTGTAACTAGTTGCCAAGGTTCTGAAGCCGCCAACATTGTAAAGAATTTTACACACATTGATTAGTTTGTTTCAAACTTACTGCGGTTTCCGGCAAATTAAACTTACTGTCATCGTCATCGGGTGGCCCGTCATAGGACTTATCGATAGCTGCCCTGAAGCTCTCGTTGCAACCTCTTCCTCTGCCCATATTTGGACGAGGGCGATGGAAAGGTAGGAGTTCAATCTTTCTATTAACTTCAGACATAGCAGTTTGCAAACTCTCCAGTGAACAGGACTTTTTCAAGCCCAGAGTGGGACCAAGTCCAGCAGGGGTTTGTGGAGCTAAAAGAGAGGAGTCAAACACAAAGGTACAGTTATGAAGATGTGTGCTTGTGCTTCAGTTGTTAAAATGCTGCAATTTCATAGAGACAAAAAAACAAAACAAACAAAAACAGATTGTCAAATACGAAACACTCAGTGCAATTGTGTCTGGTGGAGATTAAGATGGGGACAAAAATACAGAACAGGCTGGCCAGGAGTCAAAGACTACGGCATGGATGGCCTTTTTAGAGCAACTGTGCCATGGAACCAAAACTGTGATCAAGTTTACTGTGGCATTGTTGAGTTTGTGATGGATGTGTTTTCTCGAGCCAAAGGGTTTCGCTATCCATCATTGCTGCATTGAGAGATATTACTGAGGGAGGAAGGGGAGCAGCAGAAGGAATGACGAACGGAACTGTAGTCGATTGCAAAGAAATATCCAAAGCCAAGGAGATTGTAGGTGTAAGTTGGACCATCTGGCAGATACAAAGGTGATGTGAAGTGTGTAACAGACTGGATTGCAAAGTTTTAACACGATCAGATGTTTAAAAAAAAAAAAAGAAAGAAAACAGTTGCAATCAGGGGTGTTGTTTTTTTCAGTGACTGGGTGGGAGTGTGGATATTCACCAAATAAGAAATGTCTGTAATTAAATGGTTAATAGTGTGACTCTTGTAGCAAGCAAGAGATGTTTTGTGGTTTGCACCTTACATTGGACAAAACTGATGGGAGGAATAACATCAAGGAGGGAGCAAATCAAGTTTATTCTCGAGAACATGGTGACAGAGAGGAAGGTGGGGAAAATGGAAAGTGGTGAGCAAGACTCGGCCTGCTGCCAGCTCAAAATACATTTGTACAGGTTAACATTATGCACGCACACACACACGTGGGCGCACACACAGGCACACAAACGCAGTTGATGGCTGCAGATTGTCGATTCGATGTCACTTTGATTCATGATAGCTAAAGCAGAATCACTTAAGATAATGATTCCCTATACACATGACTGGTCTTGCGGTGTTTGTATGTGTGTCTATTTTGTCCTGAGATTAGAAGGCTGATGACGACGTGACTGCTGCATCAATTTTGGCCCACCCACACACAGATTGCATGAATGCATAATGTCCTTTGGCTGCTGGCAGGCGAGATGGACAGGGGCTGTGACTGGTGATGCTCCCATCCATAAACACACCACACATTATGTCCAGATGCCGACTATAATTATAATTTAATGTAGACAATAGGCAGGATATTTATGAACATAATACGACAATTAGCTGCTGCCTTGTAGAAAAGATTCAACCGACTATCAACCTCATTTGTAGTTATTATATCATGAATTCACAGCATCAATGTTATGAAACAAAAGTATTTCGCTGAACATCATATCCGAAATGGAATTGTAGCTCAAATTTATAAAGACCAAGGACAGAAAAACAATCAATACCTGTTGGGACTCCCGTTTTATTGCACAGGTGTGCCTCAGGCTACCTAAAAGGATAAATCTACTCCAAACAGCATCTCGCTAGTTAATGGAATATTTTGGCAAAGGGGAAGTGCTGAGTAACACATATTTAGACAATGTGCAACAATATTTGAGAGAAAAAAAAAGCCTTTTGTGGACAAAGGAAATGTCTTCGATCTGTTGAGTTCAAATCATGAAAAATTGAAGCAAAAACAAAAAATGCATTTAGTGGGAGTTGAGCCATCAAACCATCTATTTGTTATGTAATGAATGTACATTTACGAATGCCGAACAGTGGTCGGAATATGACAGGGAGCCAGGTGGAACTGGGGATCAACAATTCTTGAGGATTAATATCTTTAGTTTAAGATATCCGACACAAACCTCTCTTAAGCGGTTTGTTACGTTGTCACTCAAACACACTTGCTCTCCAACACAAAGTATTTGTTCATGGCGGGATTTGTGCCATAAATGTAATTACTGCAGTCCAAATGTAAGATGATAGCATTAAGCTGCTTTTGGTGGGAGAGTGGGAACGAGAGAGAGACATGACGGAACAAGTGATTAGTTGGAAAGGGGGAGAATAGGGGACTGGCAGAGGAAAACAGACACGAAGACGATGGCACAGAAAGAGAAACAAAGAGCATGAGAAATTAAAGAGAGAAGAGGAGCGTGACAACGAGAGAGGAAGTAGGAGAGAATGAAAAAAAAAATAGAGTCCTGAAAAGAAAATACAATGAGATGGCCTGCCAAGCTATTCCAAAGCTATTTGGTTGGCATCAAGGCAATAGGGTACTTTCAAAGTCAAAATTACACGAAGGAGCAGCTTAACAACACACTGCAGCAACAGAGCCAGCAGACCTAACTAACAACAATCCTCGCTCCAAGAATGTCAAAACACACTAAAAGGAGTCTCTTAAACTGAGATGTAGCTTAGTTACAGACTGAGAGTCCAAGCTTAGCCTTTCCACATTCAAATGCAAAAGACAACCGGAACAAATAAACTGTGGGTATCTTATTGTGACCGAGTGTGAAATACAATCACGTCAGCACGCGAAAGTGTGCACATATGACACTAACTTGCCACTTACCACTCGTCTGTGTTGGAGAACTGCAACTTCCAACATACTCCACCTATTTTGTTTTTTTTAGTTGTAAAAGGTCCCCACCCAACTGTTCACTCTTCCTGTTCATGCTGTTTCTGTATCTGTAAAGCAGCCGGTGAGACAACAAACGAGTTGGGCCTGAATTAAATGTCCTTTCCGCCAGGTGCTGCCAAGTCAAGGAAACCTGAACAGCCAATCCACAACACGAGCTCCTTGAGACCAACCTGATGGAGCTCGTTGATCCATTTCAAAGAAACAATCTAAACATTGCCTTCCAAAAAATATAAGGCTATATTTAGCGTATTATAGATTATAGTAGTAGATGGGTTATCTGTTGCTGAAGTTGAGTAATGTATCATTGGTGGGCAAAAATAAAGAATTTTCAACAGGGAACAGCTTCTTGGGAACATGTTAAAAATATATATCTTGTCGATTCAGTTGTCTTCACTGAGCTGGAAGAATGGATTATTGTGACGGAAAGCAAAAGTGTTGAACTGGCGGCTTGATTTCAATCAAACAATAATGCACGTCTGCAGCATTTGACGTAGTGTTGGGCTTCACTCCAAATAAGAATAGTTCCTCTCCTTGTGGTACCTTTCAGAGGGAGGCACCATATTTCAAATTCCAATCTAATAGGCCAAGTGTAGGAGTTGGTGTCCCATTAGTTAAGAGGGGACTCCTGAGTGGCGGGATTTCTTTCCTACTCATCTGTACTCATTCTCCAAAAAACATACCTGAGATTCATTGAGGTACTGAAATTGCCAATCGTAATCCATTTGGGTTAGCTAGCCTAGCCTTTTGCTCCTTTTGCACCGCTTAGTGGTAAAATTTGAACATCAATGGATTCTTCACTTCATCCGTGCCTCGAGGAACAAACTGTTAGTACAAGAAGTGATAGCAGGCTTGTGTAGATGCTTAGAAACAATCCCTTGTATCAAGATGATCCTTAATCTGATAGCTCTAGTTCCACAACATGAATTTTAGATTACATCTTTCCACTTCTAATTCACATCTTAAATCACACCGAAAAAAACAAGTGCAGGATTATGGTGCAATGAGCAGTTTATGTTTCATTGGCCCTGGGCAATTTCTGAGAGTAAGAACACTTCAGTTATTAGTCCCTGACGGGAAATCCCATTAACCGAGTTTAAATGTTTCTAATAACCTCCTTACAGTAAATTAGGAAAAATACTCCCCCCAAAAAATCCAGAAACCTTGTAGTGATCTGAGGACATACAGTTGGTCTGGGATATTTAAGAATATTTGAATGATAATGATATTGAAATGTATTGCATTGTTATCTCTTACAATATAGTAAGAATGTATCAATTTCAGATCATGATACTTTGGTTTTACAACAGTGAACAAACAGTAAAGAAAAAAACAAAAGATACATATGCAAATCTTTTCACTCACTTCTCCATAGCCTCACTTAATCTCCAAGACTGAAAAATTAACAAATTTCATCGGACCACTGAAAATCATTGATGCGCACAAAGCAAACAAACAAGTAAATCAAACCGCAGATCCATCTTGATACACTTTGTCATGTTACAATTGCAACAACGCCAACATGAACACAGTCATCAATAAAATAAACTGATGAGCCATCAGAGAACAAGAGAGAACAAAAATGTGCTTTCAAGCTAAGAATACAATCTCCTGATTGCCCAGATCAAAGTATTCATTTTATATCAACATAATAAACTGCATATAGTATTTTTTCTCCCCCCTCACCACATGCAAATCTAGAAATCTAGCGGTGCAGATTCGCATCTGGAAAAGACAAGCGATGAGTTTTGACAACTTGTCGGTGTTGTTGGAGTTCATCACTTCAATGTCCACAAGACTTTCGCTTTCAGAAATTCTGTTACGTTTGATGCGACCAAGTTCATCTGCTTTACCGTTAAGATTGTAGTCGCCGCAGCACCACCGGTCTATGTCAGTAAGGAGGAAGAAACTGCAGTCACGCCATCATCTTCTGCAATTGAGTGACTTGCTTCTGCAGTGATCACCAGCCGCTGCGTGTTTCTTCCCCCTCGTGTGGTTGACCAGTACTCTCTCGCACTGCTTGCATCAAAGTACTTGAAGCAAAATCTGCATTTTGCATGTCTGTGGCGAGGGTCTTTTTTTGGGGGTGGTAAAGTTGAAACTTCACTTTCAAAACATTTCGTTAAGACTACTTTTCTGTCATTTTGTTTTTAAATAGACTATTTCAGAATCCGCGCTGCATGTACATCAAGGACCACTATTGCATCAAATGTATACAAACATGTCAATCCAATCCTCCTTAGACAAACACAGCTGTTTATAAATGAATCCATCTTATGGGAAGTTCCTGACAAATCAGGACAGAAACAAATGGCCTCCCTCTCTTGTTGCCTTTCTCTTTCAAGCATCATAACGTATATTATACACCCACATGTCATTGATAACTGCGAAGCAGCTGATAGAGATAAATGGGTGTGCCGGCACAAAAGGACACTGCTGACCATCTACTGATTACTGCTCACTTTTATTGGCTTACTGGGGAAGATGGAGAGGGGTCAAGGGGCATTCGCTATACAAGGCAAAAGCCAAGAGAGCTCCTGAACCGTGTGTGCCACTTTAAGGAAGATATGTGGGCAAACAAAAGGTTTTCTATTGCAAACAGACACACAATACAAAGAAGTTGAGCTACTTCTACTGCGTGTCTACGGAGTGTTGAGAAGCGCTAATGTGCAGTAATATACACGTGTACACAGCCGGAGAGACTTACAAAGATAGACTACCCTCTTGCTGGCTCTCTCGCTCTCTCAAATCAATACGTCAATCCATTTAAGCCAAACTAGGTGGGTTTTAGCGTGAATCCTAAGCAAAGTCGGCAAGAACCAGCAAGACAAGGAAACGATAGACTAAAAGGCGAAGACAAATCCATAAAAAAAGAAGAAGAGTTGACGGATGGTAGTAAACAATTGCAGAGGCACGAGGATACAGTGAGACATGACTCTCTCAAGATGTTTTTTTTTTTTTTTTGGGCAGACTCTAGGCAGTATGTGACTGTCATCAAAGTCAAAGTTGCACCAGGGAGAGATTCAGACAATGGGCTGCACCAGTCTCCCTCAGCATCACGTACAAACACATTTTCAGGGAGCCGTTGTTCATTCTAAGCCCCTCCGCCTGATTGTCAGCCTCTAAGCCTGAATGGTTTTGGCAAGAAAAAGACTGTGCGAGGGCAACTAAGAGCACAAGAGTGAGGACATTAGTGGTGGGTGGAGGAAGAAATAATTGGGGAAGAAGAAGGCATTAAAAACTCAACATTAAACCCAAAGCTGAAAAGTATTTACTCCAAATAGTAGGTCTGCGAAAAGGTCATTATAAAATGGATCGGTTGGACTTGTGCTGAGTGTTTTATTCCACCGTCTGGTAAAACATTCTGACACATATTTAAAATGGACTTTTTGTGCATAGCTGAATACATTTATCCACATATTCATATGCTCATTAGGCATGCACACACAAAGCTCTGGGCTGTTTCTACGAACATGGTGAAAGAAGAAAGATAACTGTAACTACTTGTTTTTTTTTGTCCCATCAGCAATATGCTGAACAGAAAGCTCTGCCCTATTTAAAGTGGCTTCAGGAAAGACACCAACTGCAGTTGAAAAAAAAGATTTGGATGATAAAATATCAGTGCTGATTTCATGCTTTATCTATTAGAAACGATAAGCGCAATCATCTGAATCATTGTGACGCGGGATCGCTGGTCGACCGCGTGAATATGATGCACATCAGTCGACACATTTCCGGACCGCGCTGTATTGAATTTCTATACGGTCTAATATTACATTAACGCGAGAGAATTCATATGCAATGAGAACTGCCATTTATGACACTCCCCCATCTCAGACTCTGCTAAATTACAATATAATGTGGAATGAATTATTTTCCAATGCATGATGCAGAATTTCCATCATCATCATCATCATCATCATCATCAGAAGACCATATGGAAAGGATGATCATCAAATGTGTGTTGCCTTTTGGGGTGTGGAGGTGGAAAAATCGTCGCTGGATGTAAAAGAAAAAATTCCCATAAATGACTATTTCAAAGCTGCTGATATTTTCCACAAGAGCCCACCCAACACTGCCCACTCTTTTACCAAATCCATATTTAACAAAAGTCCTGGTAAATCTCAAAAAGAATTGGATCAGAAATGCAAGTGAGCTGAGTTGTGTGCGGATGCCATGAATAATAAGAATAATAACAATAAGGTCAATATTTTCCAGCACGCAAAAAGCCATATAATCGAACATATTGTAGACTCCTGAGTCTAAATCCTGCGTTTCTACTTTTTAATTGTACCTCTTCATGTTCAGAGATTCACTTATTATGTTCAAACCCATCCACCAAACAATGTACCACTTTCCCAAACTCTGGCATATCAAATATGCAACAGGATTAAAGAAACAGGTCCAAACTAATGTTGGTAAAAGGTTCCATAAACGTGTTTTGCCCTCATCTGTTCAGCAGTTAGAAGAAAGTCATTTTGTTTTTATTTGCGTTTCAGTTCTATAAAGCACATGTTCCATTCCTCCCATGATTTTGCCGTAATGCACATTAGGCTTTCGTGCTAACTCGCCTTTGTTAATGGGTATGGACCTTTTAAATCAAATATAATAACGAGTTTAAAGCTGAGGACAAAGCAGAATGTGGAAAAAAGCTGAAAAGGTATTTTCCATGAAGGCTGAGGCACTCGACAGGAAGGAAAATTCAGTGCTCTTACAGTGCAGCAACGTAGTCCACCGTTATATTGGAGCTCAGAGTTAGAGGCCCCGGTTATTCATGGATTTCAAAGCCAACTGCAAATCGGTTTTTTTTTTTCTTTTCACTTTGAATTAGGGTCAGACAGGTTTAGTATTTTCACAGGTAAACTGACTTACACTTTTATTTACAGTGGTGACTTGAGATATGAGCGCCGTCTATGAGCGCTATATGGTGGCAGTGAACTCATCTCATTTAACAAGTGGCACTTTGGCATTTGAAAGCGCTGTATAAATAACGATTTGTTGTATTGTGCTGTACATTTCCGTATAGGTGTATTCTACGGCCCCCAGGCGGCTAAGGCATGCACACCAGAAGAAGCCACACAATGCCCATAGAATCGAAGTAAAAAAAAATGGCGAAATGTTTCTTTACTATCTATTGAAGTAAGTCATTGTGGTATATTTCGAGAAAGAAAATATTGAAGAGTGATGGTTTTCTCATTCAGTTTTTTTTCTGTAACGTACTCATGGTATTTGCATTATTTTCAGTGCAGAAAGATGATTTGAGATAAGGATGTTGTGAGTCTTCAAGCATGGTCGGGGAACTCAAGGCGTGATGCCTTCTGAATGTACATATGTGTTTGGGCCTAGAAGGTGTTCAGAGGTAATTTTGGGCTTAAACTATGAAGGGGAAAACATTTAGCGGGCGTAGCAGTCGTTACATGTACATGTTGAACTTTTCATAGGATTTGGTGGTACCCACCACAAAAGACAATGAGTTACGACAGCTTCATATAAGATATTGGAGAAATCTAGACTACACGTTTGTATTCAACATTAAACTATGAAAAAGTGTAAATCCATCAATAAATAAATAAACAAATAAATACATCTCCCAGGATATGTGTGAGTGTGTGTTGCCTTTTTGAAGGTGTAATTTATAGAAGGTTCCCTCACCTGCAGTGTTTTCAACCAGGGATCCTACAGGGATTTCATCTGCAACTGAAATAAAACAAAAATAATGAATCATTCTGACACGTGTTGTACGCACCAACCCCAGTTAGAAGTGGCTTTGGGGTTAGTGTCTCCACTTGATCTACACAATTTCCAATCATCATGTCCAACTTTCCAAATGTGCGAAAGCCCCTCTTCTCAAGCCCACCACCAATCTTGTCATCGAGACCATCTGATTTTTATTCCGGGCCGTTTAGTCAGCATCACGGCTAGCAAGTCATCTCATTAATCACTAGCCCTCACTTTTCTCTTTGAACATATCAGTCGAGGCTCTCAAAGACATCACTTCACTTTTGCCTCTTTCCATTCCCCCCCACCTATACAACGGTGTTGTTTCTTCAGCAACACTCAAACTAAACCAGCTGTGTTGGCCTTTTTCCCTTCGGTTGGACACCACAGCTTCCATAGTTGTCCCGAGTCAAGCTTTGCATTACTTTACACCTATAAAAAAGGCACTTTCGAGTTATTTCTGCCCTTGGTGGTGAAGAAATCCATGCGCGCACACGCACGCACACGCACGTGTCACGGCCCACTTTGTCACTCAAACTAAACCAGCTGTGTTGGCCTTTTTCCCTTCGGTTGGACACCACAGCTTCCATAGTTGTCCCGAGTCAAGCTTTGCATTACTTTACACCTATAAAAAAGGCACTTTCGAGTTATTTCTGCCCTTGGTGGTGAAGAAATCCATGCGCGCACACGCACGCACACGCACGCACACGTCCGCCCGCCCG